AAAGCTGTACGTTTAAAATTTTGAAAAGTTGATAATGGATGAGATATTGTTAATGAATGGGAGAAAACATGCTATATGAAAACATTAATAAGTATTCAATATTTTGAAAGTTGATATTGTAACCGTAAATTGTTAAAATATATCTCACCATTATTAACGATGTCAACATATTTATCAATACTTTAGTATTATAAGAGTTTGCATTGAACCGTTGTAATGACACTATTTATCCTTCCTATTTAAATTGTTGGCATTGAAAATACAAGCAAAATTATTGATAATGTTTGCATCTAAATGGGTAATACCCATGGTACATGTTATCAATAACCATCTTCTCAAAATGTTGATAACGATATAAAAATTATTTATAGCTTGTGTTTCACTTAAAATGCAACAAAAAATCATTGATAATGATCAGATCTAAAGGTCGTCAACCATATTGTGTCTCCATCTCCGACGCACATGAAAATAAAATCATTGATTACTATAACTAATTGTTAATAATGTTACACCAATTTATTGATAACTCCCTTCGAAAACCTTGATAACGATGATGCCATTAATAACTATAATGTATTTTGTTGATACAGCAACCAATAACTTTGATAATGATCGCAGCTAAGGGTCATTATACTTTCTAGATATTACTAATACATTATATGTCAAATATTTATAATGACATTGAAAATCGTTAAAACTAAGATGTTTTTTTAACACAATCCACTTAAAATGTTCATGGTGTCATTAAAAGCAACTTGTATTGCAAAACTGTTGATAATGATAGCATAACTCGGTAATAATAACCATCGGTTTTATTACTAATTCGAAGAACAAAATTAGATAATGATGTATAAAGCCATAAAAATTAAAAACTACCCTCAGATGTATTGATAGTTCAACGAAAGAGCATTACTAATGTTGTGAGTTTCGGATTTTGAATCTCTAATTATGCAACGAATAAAGCATGCAATAAAATTAACAATTATCAAACGATTTATTAATAATTCAACGAAAGCAAGTTACCAATCATGCTATGGAAATCCGAAATTTGAAACCCTAAACACGCAACGTAATGCATGAATAATACAAAAGCAATCGATGGACAACACAAAGAAAATCGGGAACGCACTACGAGTTCACCTCCAAACTGGACAACGACAACACAAAGAAAATCGGGGATTTATCGTAGACGCTAGCTGGACGGACGACGATGCAAAGAAATCGGGGGTTGGTTGTCGGCGGTAGCTAGTGGACGTCGACGGTAGCTGTACCAACATGCAGAGTAGTGTCCCGGCAGCAACCACGACCGCGAGACGATCATGTACTCTAACCGCGAGACGATCATGTACTCTAATAACTCGAGTTGTTGGGAGAAGGTTATACTGGATCTTATACCACACTCTAACACGGCCCCTCAAACGAAAGCCAACTCATGGGCTTGAAGTTTGCACAGGCCCACCATACCTTGTGCTTTAATCAACTGTTAATATTGGGGGTCGTGGAGGTTCGTACACGACCACTTGGCCAAACCAGCTCTGATACCATGTCATAAACCAGTTGGTCCCAATAACTCGAGTTGTTGGGAGAAGGTTATGATGGATCTTATACCCAGTGGCGGAGCCAGTGCATACTAAGGTGGGTCCCGGGACCCACCTTGGTTCGGGAGAAAATATGTACGCTTAAATAATAAGGATTAAAAATCGTACCAAAAGTTATATCGGACAAGTCAATGGTATGATATTCTATGTTGAAAACGTGGTTTAATCGTGGTTCAATCATTTCAGGTTTATTCATTATATATTGTCAAAACTTTCTTTTGTCTCGCTAGATTCTTTTTATCCTAATAATAAATTCAATATATCAGGTTTTAAACGTCAACTAGATTATTATATTTATACTTTGACGTGAATATAGGCTAGCTATTGTCTAAAACTATATAGAATTAGGAGTTATTTTTCGAATCATGGTAGTTGAAAGAAGTAACTTATTGTTGTTGCTAACTAAGGCTCCACTGCAAGTATTGAAATGACATTTTCAATAAGCTACATGAAAACACTCTTTGGTATCTAATGAGTGACAAAATCATGAATTATTATTTTATTAGGTATATTTACATCCATATCATACGAATACAAGTTCGTCCATATATGAACACACATTATGTGGCATTGCAATGACTCAAAATTTTCTTGCAATATAAAAAAAATTCGGACCCACCTTACATAAAATCCTGGCTACGCCACTGCTTATACCACACTCTAACAGGAGGGAGAATATAATCCGTCGGAAAGAAAAAAGAGTTTGAGGGAGGGAGAAACGAACATGCAGAAAATAAACCTAAAACCTCCAATTTAGGTTAAGTTTTTAAATGATTAAAATCTCCTAATTACCCTTAACTTACAAATAACTACTATTAATCATAAACTAATTATTATTAATTACCTAAAATTCTATCAGGAAAAGTTTAAGCATCTGCTTAAACTTTTGGACTTAAGCACAGGAACTCAGACCCAAAATACCGGTCCAAGAACATCGCTCAGGCCGCAGCGGCACAAACCTACGTAGTAATAAATTACAAATGACAGTTGGATCGATTACCACATGGCAGAAAGGTCCAAGTTGCAGGGCAGACATGCTCCTCTTTCTGCGGATCTCATGAACTTAGTAACTCGATAGTCGATGATGGATAGAGATCGAGGTAATTAGCCTGCGGTAGTTAGTAGAGAATATTATTAATTTGGTTATTACCCCACGTGTCGCCGAGAGGTGAGGGAAATAATGTTGTTTAGGGTTTGGAGAGAGAGAGAGAGGAGCTGTACGTACTAAAAGATGAGATCAAGGAGCAAGCTTCAACTGAGAGAGAGAGAGAGAGAGAGAGAGAGAGAGAGAGAGAGAGAGAGAGAGAGAGAGAGAGAGAGAGAGAGATCTGTGTTAGGTTTTACAAATCGCAATCTCACTTGGGATCAGGAATATTCCAGTACTACGGTCTGCGGCCGGGTTGCTCGCACCCAGGCCAAATTTCAAATGCAGAACGTTTTGTCTTATTCAATCTTTCCCATACTTATTTAAGTAAGGTCATTGGCATGGAGAAATTAGGTTTACAAGGAATCTATAGCTAGTTCGTGGATCGTCGTTTAAATAGACAACGTTTTGTTTCAAAAATATGAGTTGGTAAGACCAAATTAACATCAAGGGAAAGCATTTATTTGTACGAGCTAGGAAGATGTTAGGAAGTTATGCATGGACATATCCTATATCCACGGAAAGATGATCTACGTTACGAAATTAAGTATACATGCATTATACGCCTAGTTTCTACTTGTTAGTTATTAAGATACACCTTTTTTTCCTTCTTTTCAAAATGATATATTGCAAGACTCGCACCCTAAGCTTTACACCATGTTATAATTAAGTTATAACACCATGTCTTACTAGTTACTATTCGAACCAATTCTTGTTGGTTATCGACCCTCTCATATCTCTTTGAAGTCTTTTTGTACGGATCTCATCTCATCTCATCTCATCTCATCTCATCTCATAGACTTAGAGGCATAAAAAAAGGTGAATCACATATGTTTACCAATATCGACACACAAAATAGAATAATAAGGAAACTAATTCTTATGCCTATAACAGGGAGACGCCACCTTAGACTTGAGTGTATAAGGATCTATAATGATATCTTCAACTTTAGTTCTATGAGTGACAAAATTGATCATACTTTGAATAGTGGGCATGAAGTATATGTGTTTTCAGTTAGGTAAAATTACTACGATCAAATTTACAGTCTACTACCACCAAAAGTCTCAACTCCTAAGTTAGCTTGGTTGTACATCCAAAATAGAGATATAAATTGAATTTTGAATCTATTCGATCATTACATATGATAATTTGAATTCTCAACGTGAAAACTTTGTGACTAAGTTGAAGCAGATATTAGATGCTTGCAATGTCGTGCTAGACCAAAGATTTAGGTGCTCCAAAGACAAATCCAATTTCGAGATTGAAACTATTGGTCAATCTAAATCAAATATGCTCGGAAAATATAATCTTCATACCGGTGATTAAGTCACTAATCTTATTGCTTGCTTGTATCTTGTTAATCTTGGCCGAACTCAACATTAAATGTGTTTGTCTATCTATAGAGACTCTTGATTAATGATAAATAGCTAGAGAAAACAATTGTAAAGAGAAGTAGCAACCAGATACCCTTTAACAAAAATGACATATAATAAAAGAAAAGACACGAGAAACATAACATACTTTGAGCCTTGGAAAATGCTAAATTACATTGTCTTCTTTCTTTTTTTATAATGATGATGAACTTTATTAAACAAAACAAACTAAATCCCACAATAGAGTTCTTAGATACAGAGAACCGGACACCCCAAGAAGGAGTAGGGAACGAAAGAGTTACAGTCAAATGAAAATTCCAAAACGAAAAAGAGACACTGAACTGCAGAAACTAAGGGAGCCCAAGAGTTCAAACTCAGGCGGAACTCATCAACTACTAGCCCCTCTTCGTGACCAACTCTGTAGAAACCCAATCCCCTGATCTTTGTCAATCTTTTTGTGAGCCAAAGTCCAATCAATAATTCCTCCCATTGTCTTTCACTACTCGTCGTCACAAAATAATTTCCCATTAGGGCTAAATTACACGTTTGGTCACTCAAATTATACAAATCTTTCACGTTTGCCACCCGAATTACTTTTCTTTCTTATTCGCCACTAACTTTACGAATCGTTTCACGGTTGGTCACCGGCCGTTACACTCCGTTAAGTTTTTCCTACGTGGCAGTCAACTATAAAGTTTGACTGTTAACTAGATGACGTGAAAATTAAATTTTTTTTCTTTCCATCTCATCATTGCACTTATTTTGTCTATATAATTTATCATATTAATAATTTAATAAAATTTAATAGATTACAAAAATGGACACCCAGAGGCGAAGACCATGAGCCATGAGTGGACGTCGGCACCCCAGTTATCGGGAACGAGATTGAAGTTGGAAAACCGAGGCTTCCCCTTCAGCGTGACGCTCCTAATCCTCGGGAACCGGCGGGCGACGATCTCCGGCGAGACGGAGTGCCAGTTCCCTATGAATACGTGGCGGCGGGACCAGCTATCGGCGGCGTACCAGTCAGGTAAATTCATTGGAATTCATCTTGATTATGGATAATCGATCTTTTTTCATTTTGCACGTCGTCACTGACCTATTGTTTGTCTATGGTTCTTTTCCTCTTTTTCTTGTAGGTAATCAACAATGCTTGCACAACCCAGGCAATCCTGTCCATCCTAATGAACTCTGCTAACATAGATATCGGTCCTGAATGATCGAAACTGAAAGAATTCACCTAGAACTTCCAACCAGAGCTCAAAGGCTTAGCCATCAACAATAGTGAAGTTATACGTTCGGTTCACAACAGTTTTGCAAGACCCGAGCCTTTCATCTCTGATGAACAGAAAATCGCTGGAAAAGACGATGATGTGTACCACTTCATCAGTTACATACCTGTCGATGGTGTGACCAACCATGCAATTAACCCCTATAAACATGAAGGGAGAACTAAATTTTAGCAGTTCTCGCGCCTGATGAGATGACTTGCCTGCTATACTTTGTATGTCTGTTTTTAATTTTTTTTGTGGGTGGAGTTCTTTTGGCCATTTTGTACTCTAATCTCATCGATGCCACCTAGGTAGGGCTGTCCATTTGGTTTTGGTTTTTTGGTTTTAACCGAAACCAAACCAATTGAAAAGCTAATGGTTTCAGTTTTTTGGTTTTAAACCAATAAGCAACTTAATGGTTTTGGTTTGGTTAAAACCAAAAAACCAATAGAAACCATTAAGAAACCAATATGAATAAAATTATTTATCAACAAATATTTATTTTTTTGTTTCTTTTGACACACATGCCAACCAATAATTTGTAAAGTCCATTTACCATTATTATGACGTTTATTCAATAAAGAGGAGGGAAATAGGAATAAATATGAGTGTATGAATACATGTTGGTTTTTTGGTTATCCAAACCAAAACCAAAACCATTAGGGCCCTTATTGTTTTTTGGCAACCAAAAACCAATAAGGGCCTTAATGGTTTTGGTTTTGGTTTTTGAGTTTTGGTTTTTGGTTTTTGGTTTTTCATACTTAATGGTTTGGTTAACCAAACCAAACCAAACCAAATTGACAGCCCTACACCTAGGTATGCCAAGAGCGAGATAAGGTTCAATCTCTTGGCGGTGATCAAGAACAGGAAAGAGGTGTACACTGTCGAGCTGAAGGAGCTCCAGAGGCAGAGGGAAAGGATCCTGGCAGCTTCTCAAACTGAAGGGGTCAGCCGGGGCAGCTACGAATCGATGAGCAAGTCATTGTCCGAGGTGAACAGTGGGATCGAGACCACAACTGCAAAGATCCTGATGGAGGAGAAGTTCAAGAAGTGGAGAACCGAGAACATTAGGAGGAAGCACAATTACATCCTGTTCCTGTTCAACTTCCTCAAGATCCTTGCTGAGAAGAAGCAGCTCAAGCCTCTGGTCGAGAAAGCTAAGCAAAAGGCTGGCAACGCCAAGTGAAACAAAGACCAATGGTAAACTCTATCGGACGACTTCAATCCAGTCTGTACCTTGTTTTTGTGTCATTTGAAAACTTCTTTTGTTTAAGATTTCTATCTATGGCTTTTTGGATGCTCTAGAATGCATATCTTCAAGCAGAGTTACCGAGTTCAGATGAGGCAGTGGGGATCTCGCTCCTGATTCTTGTAACTGGTACGCCGCCGATAGCTGGTCCCGCCGCCACGTATTCACCAGGAACTGCTACTCCGTCTCGCCGGAGATCGTCGCCCGCCGGTTCCTGAGGATCAGGAGTGTCACGCTGAAGGGGAAGCCTCGGTTTTCCGACTTCAATCTCGTCCCCGATAACTGGGGCGCCGACGTCCACTCATGGCTCCTAGTCTTCGCCTCTGGGTGTCCATTTTTATAATTTATTAAAGTTTATTAAATTATTAATATGATAAATTATATAGACAAAATAAGTGCAATGATGAGGTGGAAAGAATTTTTATTTTTTTATTTTTTTGAATTTCCACGTCATCTAGTTAACGGTTAAACTTTATAGTTGACTGCCACGTAGGACAAACTTAACGGAGTGTAACGGCCGGTGACCAACCGTGAAACGATTCGTAAAGTTAGTGGCGAATAAGAAAGAAAAGTAATTCAGGTGGCAAACGTGAAATATTTGTATAATTTGAGTGACCAAACGTGTAATTTAGCCTTCCCATTAGCATGTTCACAGAACCAGAGCATACCACACTCTATATATTATCATACATTTCGCTGTTCAATTCAAAATCATACCACATTTCCTAAAGGCTAAAGGAGGTTACAAACTTAATTGTAATCCTAATTAAGGACATTCACACCTCAAATCAATACATGATACCTCTTGAGCGCTAAGGATGTTCACCTCAATTTAAGATACGTGCCTCTTCAAAACTAATTAACACAATACCAAAAATCAGTTCAGTTTTAAAAAATACATTTTCAGTGAGAACCTACTGACTAGAAGAAAAAATCGTACTTTAAAATTTAAAAACTTATGATTTCACGCTTCTAGATCACCAAAACGCTTATGTTTCCATATAAAGTCTTTAGTGTATAAAATCGGACTAAATTGCGCTTTAAAGTTTAAAAACTTACGCTTTTACGCTTCTCATTCACTAAAACGCTTTACACTTCTAGTTTACTAAATGGATATTCTTTTTATGAAATTAATGATAAAAAGTATATTTTAAAGGTAAATCGCCAACAATATGATACATTTGAGATTAAAAGATACATACCGGGTAGTTGGACGCATTCTCAGCTTCAATAAAGTAATCTGATTCGCATGCTAGGACCTTCCCAAATTCATTAGCATAGAGAGAAAAACGGCTTATTGTTAAGACCTATGTTTATGAACTAACTTATTGTTAAGATGCTAAGATTTTGTCTACTTTAGACATGAATTGCAGGTATTTATTAACTTATCTTAACTTTGTGCACTCATATTTTACACAATATATGTCGTGCTTAACAGATTTTTAGTTATTTTACAGTATGCGTAAAAAACTTACGTTTTTACGCTTTGATTCTACGCTTTACGATTTTACCCCTTTTCCGCTTGTTGGTAGAATCGCGCTTTTGACTGCATTGGTAACAATCAAGGTAGTAATCTTCTTCACCTTTCTGGATTCAGCCTGCTCAAACTTTGAGTTGCTAAAGATCAAATGAAATTGTAAGAGGACCAACCAGTTCCTTAGATAGGATGCTATGGTTAAAATTCTACGAGATGTTAGCCTGATGAACCAGTAACTCACGGGTCAAGAGTTGGTTGTAAACTCACAGGCAAGAGTACGTTGTAAAGTGTCGAGACACTATATTATTCTTTCATTTAATGGCTTGATCGGACTATACACCGAAGTGACATTTGTATAGTTGGGAAAACCTAATACGTAAATCTAACTACAACAAAGTAAACCTACGAACTTACGTTACCCTAGCCGACTCGATCGGCAACCTAACAAAGACTCCTCAAACCTACCTAGTAACAAATAAAAATGACAGTTGGATCGATCACCACATGGCAGCAAGGTCCAAGTTGCAGGCAGACATACTCTCCTCTTTCTGCGGATCTCATGAACTCGGTAACCCGATAGTCGATGATGGATAGAGATTCGAGGTAATTAACCTGCGGTAGTTGGTAGAGAAAGCTTAGTTAATTTGTTTATTACCCCACGTGTCGCTGAGAGGTGAAGGAAGGAAATAATGTTGTTTAGGTTTGTAAATAGTGAGAGCTGTACGTACGAAAATATCAGATCAAGGACCTTCAACTCAACTGAGATTTGGAGAGAGAGAGAGAGAGAGAGAGAGAGAGAGAGAGAGAGAGTTGAGTGGTAGGTTTTTCAAATCGCAATCTCACTTGGGTTGATCAGGAATATTCCACTTCGGTCTGCGGGTTGCTCGCATCCAGGACAGATTTCAATGCAGAACGTTTGTCTTATTCAATCCTTCCAGTTATTTAAGTAAGGTTAGTGCCATGGAGAAGTTAGGTTTAAAATGAATCTCTAGCTAGTTCGTGGTTTAAACAGACAACGTTTTGATTCAAAAAAAAAAAAAAAAAAAAGACAAAGAAAATATGAGTTGGTAAGAGCAAATATCAAGAAGAAACATCTATTTGTACGAGAAATATGTTAGGAGGAAATTATGTATGGATATCTTATATCGACGAATAGAGAATCCACCAACTTTCATTCCTGGAGATCTCAATTGGAGACGCTGTTGATGGGATTAGATCTCATCGCCTTCATCGACGGCACTGGTGTCGCCCCTGCTCAAATGATCACGGCAGACAACACCACAAAGCCCAATCCCGCGTACCGTCGCTGGTATCGCCAAGATAAACTTATTCTCCATGCTCTTCGCTGCTCCATTTCTGAATTATTGTATTCATATGTCTCTGCTGCTACCACATCCCGCGAGGCCTGGTTGGTTCTTGAAAAACTTTACGGTGGTCGCTCTCAGTCTCGTATCATCCATTTGAAAGGGAAATTGGCTGGAACAAATAAAGGCACAAATGATGTTATCGCTTATGCGAACGATTTGAAGCTCATAGCCGCCGAACTTGCCCTCATTGATGATCCAGTCAAGGATTTGGACTTGGTTGTTTACTGTCTTCGTGGTTTAGGTCCTGAATACAACCAATTTTCAGCTACTGTTCCGGCGAGCGGCATCGTTGTGACCATTGAGGAACTCCTCGATTCTCTCATTGAATTCGAGGCTGATTTGAAGGCTCAAAATTGGGCTGCTGCTGTCCCGACGACATTCTTCTCGTAGGGCCAAATCCGTCGTGGTGGCAACGACAATCGCGGCGGCTCCTATCCTCGTCAGTCTCCTCGTCCGCAGGGTTTTGGAGGTGAGCCAGGCCTCCTGCAGTCCCGTCGCCCAGGCCCAGGGTGTGAGCCCAACTTCATTCAAAACCGCCGCCCGGGCCCAGGTTCTTTCAACCCTCCTTCAGCTACCGACACTCATTCCCATATGCAGCGAAATGGGCCTATTAATGGGCCTATTATCTGCCAATATTGTGATCGCCAGGGCCACTCTGTCAAGCAATGTTTCAAGGTTTTTCCTCAGGCTCGTCAGGCCTTTAATCAAGCCCGTCAAGGACAGATTCATAACACAGTCACCACGGGTTCCTATTCAGCTTTTGGGCCCTGGCTAATGGATTCCGCAGCTTCCCATCATGTTACTTCTGATCTGGGCCAGCTCTCTCTTTATTCAGATTATTCGGGCCCCGATGAGATCCTTGTTGGTGATGGATCAGGTTTGGCTATATCGCATATTGGATCATCTACTATTTCCCTTGGTTCTAATTCATTTCAATTACGAGACATATTGTGTGTTCCAAGTATAAAGCATCATCTCATCTCTGTCGCAAAATTATGTCAAACTAATCCAGTCTCTGTGGAATTTTTTGCCACTCATTTTCTTGCAAAGGATCTTCGCACGGGGGCGCATCTGCTAAGGGGGGAAAACAACAGTGATGTCTACGAGCTTCCTCTTGAGGTGGAGAATGTTCGAATGGCCTTGGTGACAACTCGCACATCTACATCCTCTTGGCACGCTCGTCTTGGTCATCCTTCCCACCAATCCCTTGCTAGTCTCATTCGGTCAAACTCTCTTCCAGTTTCCACCCCTGTTGCTAGTTCTAGTTCTCATTGTGATGCTTTTCTTTCAAATAAAAGTCACAATCTTCCCTTTTCCATTTCCTCTCTATCCAGTGAACGACCGTTTGATTTGTTATATACTGATGTTTGGGGCCCTGCTCCTGTTTCTTCCATTGACAATTATCGTTATTACTTGATTATTGTTGATCATTTCACTCGATACACCTGGTATTATCCACTTCGCCTAAAATATGATGATCTGCAAGTTTTTCTTGATTTTAGGACCATGGTTGAAAACTATTTTTCCACCACTATTCGTCGTCTTTACACGGATGGTGGCGTCGAATTTCAAAAACTGCGTCCTGACCTTCTTAATCATGGCATCACACATCTACTTACCCCACCACATACACCTGAACAGTGAACAGAATGGTCTTGCCGAACGCAAATATCGTCATTTGGTTGAAACAGGTCTTACTCTCCTTTATCATGCTCATCTTCCCACATCTTTTTGGTCGTTTGCTTTCTCCACCGCAATCTATCTCATTAATCGCCTTCCCTCATCCGCACTTCATGGTAAAGTTCCCTACACTCTCTTATTTACCTTGTCTCCCAACTACCATAAACTTCGCATTTTTGGGTGTCTTTGTTATCCTTGGCTCCGTCCCTACTCTGTTCACAAACTTGACCCTCGCTCCCGTCCATGTCTTTTTCTCGGTCCCCAACGAAGTGCCTATCGATGTTTTGATCCCTCCACTCACGGACTCTTTTTTTCCCGTCATGTCATCTTTGTTGAGACTTCTTTCCCAGGGTACACTGGCTCGTCTTCCCAAGAGCCTGTCTCGGTTGCTTCTTGGTTACTTGACAATTCTC